CCTGTGCCAGGCACTGAGTGGATGGGGGTCTGATGAAGATGTTGGTGGACTGACCTTCCTCCTCTGTGCATTGCCTTTTCATGTCGTCTTCCCATTTTCACTGTCTTTTTGTGATAGAATTGATTATCTGTTAAGGCTATTAATCCTTTGTTATATATGTTACAAGTACTTTCTTTCAACCTACCAGTTGTCTTGACTCTTAACATTATTTATAATAGTATCTTTAATGGTGTTTAATTTTTTTTTTGAGGCGGAGTTTTGCTCTTGTTACCCAGGCTGGAGTGCAATGGCGCGATCTCGGCTCACCGCAACTTCTGCCTCCTGGGTTCAAGCAATTCTCCTGCCTCAGCCTCCCAAGTAGCTGGGACTACAGACGTGCGCCACCATGCCCAGCTAATTTTTGTATTTTTTAGTAGAGACGGGGTTTTACCATGTTGACCAGGATGGTCTTGATCTCTTGACCTCGTGATCCACCCGCCTCGGCCTCCCAAAGGGCTGGGATTACAGGCTTGAGCCACCGCGCCCGGCCCTATGGTGTTTAATTATTATGTAGTAAAATTTATCAGTCTTCTCCTTTATTGTTTGAGTGTCTTGGACTTGCTTAAGAAGGCTTTCCCTACTCCAGAGTCATAAAGATAATTTTGTGTGTGTGTGTGTGTGTGTGTGTGTGTGTGTGTGCGCGCCTTTAATCTGGCTGGGCTTGATCGTGTGTGTGGTGTGTGCTTAGACAGGAACCCAGTTTTATTTTCTGCCATGTGGAAAGATTCTCTCTCCAGTATCACTTACCAGTGAGCTCACTTCTCTCCACTGGTCTGCAGTGCCACCCTTGTTACTTACAGACTTCCCATGTGTGCGTGGGTCTCTACCTGGGCTCTCCGTTCTACACTGCCTCTCGCTTTCCCTTTCTGTCCTAGCACCAGAGCATTTAACTCACCTGTCATCCTGTGTTGCAGAGAAATTCCTTCGTAGAACTCATCACAGTGTGATTGATTGTGCTCCCTGAGGGCAGGAATTATGCCATCTGGATCACCAGCCTCCCCTGCCCTTAGCACGCGTCTGAAAATCAGCAGATACACGGTAAATGTGTGTTAA